ACTACCTCCTTATGCATTATATCGAGCCAGCCCTACAGGCAGCAAAGGCTATGTGGCCTGATTGTTGATGGATGTAGCCTAAGTTGTTTATACTACAAAACGCTGGGAGATTGAAGTGGATCTCTCAACGTGAACGTTGTTAACGTAGGATCGCCTGAGGCGTCCTGGTGTTCGCCGGGAAAGACCCGTCATTTCGCTGTGGGTCTGAACCTTACCCTACAATCCTCCCGCGTGTCTCGTGCGACCACAACATTCAATCTGACCAGACCTTTTCTCAACTCTTGGAAAAGCTTGAGCTGACGTGATCTGACCATCAATCTCGATGGCTTTGGCAGCTGTTAGCCTTAATGCACATAATGGCCAGATCCGTCTGTAGCACATTAAATCATCTCAGGAACACAGTCCACAAGGTACTAGTCATAACTAAACTTGTCAAGAATGCAGGAATCTCAGCTGAAACATTTCAAAATACACTAATCGCTAGGTAGTATATCTTACCAGGACTCAAGTACCTATACCACTTTCAACATCTATAGTTATCGTTGGTATCATGACCGCCAGCTTAAGATTAATCAATCCAGACAGCCCTTTCCAAATACAAATAGGGCAGATTCACAGTCTAGTTCTCAAGTATGCGCTATGGTTAGTAGGCTAGATGATATAGAATCTCAAACTCCCAAGCAATGGAATTTTTACTAACAGCTCATAAAACCAGCGGTGCTTAAAGTAGGCCTCCATTCCTAGAAGATCCCCTCACAAAATCTGCCTCAACTTGCTTCTGTCCGATTCCCCTAAATATATCTGCGTATATATGCCCCCTGACGTGATATTCATGGACTGGTCGCTAGATTATCCACTTTATGCCCCCCCCCCCCCCCCAAAAAAAAAAAAAAAAAAAAAAAAAAAAACCTCATGCTCGGATCAAAGCAGAGTATAGCCAGACACAGTATTCGCCATCCTATAAAGATGATTTGTGTCAATTACATCCTATATCCTGGATGTTTTCACAAATACTGACATCCAAAGTAACAATCACCATCGAAGATGGGACATAAGATAATTGCAGCAAAAATAACAGGCTATATTGATAGGACTTGACTCTGGGACAGTGTGCCCAAACATATACTTACTTAGCTACAACAGACTGGCCACACCTTAACCAAGTTGTGTGTGTGTCACAATACATATTATAATTCAACAACCCAGCCGATGATAAAAGAAGGCAGCAAACACTTCTCCAACACCTACATACATTGGTATTATAACCTAGCTGAGAACACAGAGTTCAATACTTGAATACCACACCGTATCTCGTATTTCCAAGATATCTGCCACAACATAGAGCTTTTACCAGCCACCGAGTTATCACGACAATGTGCCAACTACAAAGCCTTTTTTCTCGAAGCCAAACACTAAAAGAGACACAAGTGGTTGTTGATTACTTCAATAGTTTATCCTGATCTTTCAACCTTTGTTAAGCACCAGCCATGTTGACAACTTATTCGTCAGGAATGCGACCATGTTTTGGGGCAGAAATTAGTGTATATTCTCACTGGAACGCTATGTTACTCGATCGGTACTTGCTATCAATCATGGCTAGTGCATCAAAGGTCATCAAATTGGAGCCCCATACATAACAACACATTGGGAACACTCGATGACAAACGCTTTATGCGTAGAATTGGCCATACTCTTACGCCGTGGCAGGGTCTTCTGCATACCAGTCTCTTACCACCCCAGAAAGTTTCATTGACACGACTCTAGTTTCCCTGCTTGGGAAAAGGGCAAGCATCGCACATGGAAGAACGGTGAATTGACAGGACGGAACATTTTGAGATGTAATTATCAACCTTACAGACCATCTTCTCTCATTATCCACGCCATTCCATACCATGACCACTCAGACGGCTTTTGGGACTTCCCTTTTGAGATTTCCTTGTTGGTAAGCCAGAGACCCCTTACTACCTGTGCCACTTGTGCTATCGCGATGAGCTGCTTGATGCATACTATGTACTTTCAATGGATCAAATATCGCGAGTGGGGGCCAATATTCACCACCCAAGAAACGGGATTCAAAGGAATCCTCAAGATCAAGTGTGAGGAATTTTCTTATCGTAACGGCATAGCGGCTCTGTCCGGCCGTGGAGTAGATGCCATCAGGATGTACACGCCCAGACCTATTCCTGCCTTATCCAGTACCTTCCTCGCACAGGCCCTCCTTTAGTGCAACCCTATGGCACTTTGCTGCCCTTGAACGATCCTTTACCCACATCATTGGGTAGGATAAAGAATCCCCGTGCACAGGAGGGTCGGGCAAAACAAGGAACTGCTCAGAAAGCAGATTCATATCACAAGAATACCTTGTGCCTAGGACTTTCACACCAGGCAGTACATTGCATACTGCCACACCATGCAGATCGCAAGGGGCAAAACCGTTATGCGTCGAAGGTTCAACGGTGGCTTTGCATTAACAGCAGTACTACAGACGATCATTGGCTCGCATTATTCCGGGTCGTCCTCGAGCACCATCCAATAATATAACAACTTCAAGCTGCAGACCTCCCAGAATGGAACAACGCCCTTAACAAATTATGACGTTTGCTTAGTAACATATCAACATTTTGATAGCTAGTATATAGAATTGATTGCGATAGTCCTCGCGTCCAGCCTAAAGAGGGTGACTTGGAGAAAGATTATGCCATACATGTCGATGGCGAATCACTTACCATCAGCAAGGGAAGCTGTACCGACTCATTTCCCTGATTTTCAGTGGCACGGCTTTGCTGTCGTATTCCGTCGTCGACTCTGGTCGAAGCGAGGAACCAATATGGGAAGCGAGAAGTCAATTTGGATGATCCCCAACTTTGTGTTGCCAGCTCTAGGATCTGATGACAATCGGCTTCGTATTCAATGTCTCTGTACTAAAGAGGATATTCGATTGCGTCTTCCAGTAGACATAGATTATTATTTAAAGATCTCTCTATGCCTCTGGACGAAACTATTCCATTCCATAAGTCTCTAATCTCAAAAGACATTCGAGAAATCTACATTGAATCTGCCCTGAACAAAACCTGCCGCAGTCATGACTACCCAGACTCAAGAAAGGTTCTCTGCTGCCACCAAGGCTGACTACTTTCCCGTTCAGCCGAGTGCTATCTACCATGAACCCACCGATGATGTTCTGACTGTCGATGGTATCTGCCACACACCCCGACCTCACTGTCTGGCTGAACTCAAGCGAGTCCTTGCCCAGCATGCTACATCTCCTAGTACACCTTCTATGCGTATCTGGGTCTACATGGCCCGGGCAATTCTCGGTGAGCCCGTCGAGCAGGAGGAAGATGTGCTGGCACCTGAAGATGGAGCTGATAACGCCATTGCAAACTCCTTCGGATGGTTCATCCCAGAGAACGCAACCGAGGTCATGACCGGCGATGACCATCCCTTGCTCTCGCTCCCAGCGGCTGTCTGTGCGCCTCTTTGGAGCATCAGGTCAGCGGGAATCTTCCATCCCGAGTGGATGCAAGAGGCGCTCGGTATCATCATCTCACGAGCATCTGGAACTTCGTTTGACCCGTGCGTGGCTATCACTCGGTCTATAGACCCGGAAAGTAGGCTCAATCAAGTCAGCGCCATGACAGGACTGGGTAAACTCCGAGTCAGCAATCTGTCCACTGGAGGGCTAAGTGGGCTCTTCTACTTGGCTCTCACCAGCCCGGAAGCGATGACTGAGGAGGCTCGTGCTGTCACTGCTTTCTACCACGGTTTGCCGTATGCAGACGAGCTCAGCGTTTGCGACCAGGGAGGGCAATGGGCCCATCTTCCAAATCTAGCTGGCCCATTACTTGCAGCAGAAAAACTGCTAAGCGGACCTCGCCCGGAGATCTTTGATCGTGTACTGTTCAGTTACCATTGCTGCACAATGGACCCTAAAACCCCGCCTTTCTCGTCTAACTACTCCATCTCTACCTTGTTCCTCGCTAGGCTATACGACTCTACTCTTCCATCGTTTCTTGACTGTATCAAAGCTCTGGACCCAATTTCTATCTTTGGGGCCCGTGCAACTGCCTGGGGAACTGTTTTCTCGAATGACATATTCGATTATGTGAATGACCAGAAGTCGGGCAGGGCACTCAATTTCTGCTGGGCCGTAGGCACTTGGGACGGCCCCATCATCTGTGCTCGAATGTTCCGTGGGTGTCTCCTTGCCAACGCGCGGATCGCTCGTGAAGCTCCTGGTCCCCTCTTCGCTATCTTGTTCATGGAGTTCGTCTATCTCTACAGTGCGCGGTATTGCTACTGGGCCATTTCGCAGAAGTGTGATACTGATATTCCGTTAGATGACACTTACATTCCTTGTACATTTGATGAGATCCCATCTCCGGATACCCCTCCTGTCGGTGGATTCCGTGCAGCATTGCGCGCAGCCTTTGCGGAGTCGCCTCCTGATGGCTGCAATGGACATTCCGAGGTGCCTGACATCACCGCCAACAAAAGCGGCCAGTCTCTTTCCCCTTGGCAAGGGCTAGCTGCTACAAAATGTGATTGGGATAATCCGCATAAGAACTTCGATAATCTAGCTATGGGGGCTACCTATGAGATCCTGGCTTGTCTTGACCGTGGTGTCTATAAATCCTCACGTGGACTTTACAACGCTCACCTTGCATGGATGATCCGTCAGTACGACATCCTGGTGGAATGTGGTAGAGATAATTTGGCAGTCGGACGTTACTACGTCTCCCATCGGTTGAAGTAAGGGTCAGCTGTGCATACATCCATCGGCACGAAACATGATTCAGTCCCGTCCCTCTCTTTAGTTTCATGATGATCTTATGTATTTGAGAAGTATCGCACCCAGAATGAATAAAGCTGCAGACAAACATGACCATAGTGTTGAATGACTCATGTCAGAACATATCTCTCCGTCCACTCAGGGTAGACATAGTGTATCCTTTTTATGATCCTACAGTCGTCAACAATTAGGCACAGATGCTAGGCTCTCAGTAGTCATACACCTCGAAGGTTTTCAGAGGCAGGGTGATAGTAAACTCAATGGCATCCTATGTAGGCAGCAATATCTTATTGCTAGTCCAGTCGCGTCCCATTTGTGGGCTCTCAGCTCAACTTGTTTCTGTGCGCTGTTCGGGGTTTGATGGGCCTGAGCGTAGGGCTTTTCGCTGCTCGGGGCATGCTGTTGTGTCACCGGGCTCCGACCCAGCGCCTGACCAGTCAATCAGTCACCACTGCTGCTCTCACGTAATAGGGTGTGCTTTCGGCACTCTCGCCAGCCTCCGCCTCTGCTCTCTGTCCCCATGACCTCCTTCCGCTCCTCCCCTCTGTTTCCCATGCCACCCACCACTCCACACCCCCATTTCCTTGGCTCACCTCCGCTCCACCCCTCGCCCTAAAAGGTGCTCTCCACCCATCTGTCATGGGGTATCCGCTGGTGACTATACGCTCTCCCCTTGAATCCTTCACATCCACTACCTCTGATGAACTTATCAGTTCAGGGCATGTGCTCTACGCTTACGTCTAATTACTACTACAGGAACAAATAGAATTTCAAGCAATCACGATTATATCCATTCAGATCTTGCACACATTTCATAAGTCCAATTCCAATTCTCCTGAATAGAACGCTGCATCTTCACCTCCTCATATACGGATTATCCAAAGTCCTATCAGCGATCGGAAGATGTCTGACAAGATCACCCAAGGAAGCACCAATACCATGTAGGATATTGCGTTCCTCCATAGTCCTCAAAGTATCATTTCGTCTATACCTTACCAATGTAATGTTGTGTCCACGAAGCACAGCCCCGAACTTTGGCCAATCAGCACCGGGGGAATACACACCACGTCTGAAAATTTCACGTACGAGAGCCATCAACTCATTCTGGTCGGCGTGTTCTGGACCAGAAATAGCCAGAAACACTGGACAACTATAGGTCGTGCTGGTGACAACAAGCATCTCATACTTGACATTGTGGCCAGTGAAGGATGGGTAACTGTGGTCGCTTGTAATCACTGAGCGCAGGTCATCTTTCTCGAAGCCTGCTTCATCGACGTAGCCGTGTCCATCGAACCGTTCTACCCACTGTTCTTGGAGTAGGCGCGAGAGTAGGCTGAGATAGCCGTGATCAGGGGCTGACGTTTCCAAGATTGGCGTATTCATGGGTATATAATACAGTATATAGTGTGTCTGTATGTGCAAAATTCGATGAATTGATGGACGAAGCTTGCAGTTTATACCAGTGAGAGAGTAATTGGCGGTCTAATACACAGAAAAGGCAGACCAGACGAAGGGGACACAGGCCTACTCATATGTTAACATCCTTCCTCCATGCCAGACGCAGGTGCAGAAGAAGCTATTGAGAATTGCGTCGCTGCATCTCTGGATATTATTCAATTCCCTAGATAACATCTGCTATATAGTTGGAAACAGCCCAGAGGGTGTCAAATACATACAAGGCAATATGCACTGTACGTCACATATCAATATAAAAGTTCTCCACGTACGCTGACGGAACCGGAATCAACCTCATACATTACCACTCAGCTTAAACAAGACCAAAGAAGGGCTCTTGCCAGCCGTGCCTTTTTCTGCCCAACACAACACACATGCCAATCGGGAATGTCAGTCCACTCATTCACTCCACCAACCGTAATGAGTACTCTTCCCCACAACTATGCGTTACAGAAAGAACCTTCTAGACACCCTGAAAATACAGCTGAGGTGTCAGGAAGATTCCAGGCCAATGGACATTGTTCAAAGTTTAGCTTTTCAGGCATCGGTTGGTACGCAATCTATATGTGGTATGTAACCATGGATGTTTCCCTGTGGTCAGTTTCTGACGGTCTCCCAATATTGCTGCAACTGAGTTCGAAAATTGGCTTACTGCTCCTGGTTTCACCTTTTTCTACACTAGTTGGTAGAACTGCAAAACCATCGACGTAACAGTAAGGATCAAATACTATACATGTATCTAGGAATCAACTAGGTGAGTACAAACACATACTCTACATCTACACATATTCATCACTACATATCCACGTAGCCTCTAGAGCAATGGTAAAAACTGTAAATTCACACCTAGCACACAGATGCTAACCATCCTGAAATCCCCCAAATCGTAGTCGTACGATCAATCCGTCCCCAATTCATCCGGGATCTGAAATTCCTCAACAATCCCATCCAAGAGACGTATAATCCTCCCCCAGAGAATATCATGCACAGTCTCCCCCTCAAACACCACCTTATGTGCACCGCCTTCAAGATCCACTTTGAAGACACATATTTCCTGCCCATGAATAACAGCCCCGTACTGCGGCCACCCCTCACGAGGCTTGTTTTTCTTATCCGCGAACAAAGATCGTAGCTTACTTCTCAGTAAATCACATACTACCTTAACGCGCTCTCGAGCCCAGTCGGGAGCCTGCCCGTCAGGTGATAGTAATGTATCGGGTGCCTCACACCCAACGGCAACAAACACCGGTCCATATTTTCTGCTGCACATGATAAGATTTGCGTTATAGAGGTCGCCCTGGAGCTCTGGACTTGGCTGGAGCCAGTAGTGTAGTGTGCTTAGCACGTTCAGGTCGCCGCGCTTGAACCCGCGCTTGGTGACATTTCCGTGTTCGTCGACTTTTTCCTCGAACGAGCGTTTGAGGGTGTCGGCGAAGTTGAGAATGTTGTATGTGTCGGCGCTCATCATGGTTGTGGGTGGATGGTTAATTGGAGAGTTGTAATGATTGGGCAGATCGGCAGTACTAGTATCTAGCACCGTGGGAAGACCTAGTTTGGATGGTGATTTATATAAAGGCAAGAGAGTGAGGGTTGTTCGCCGGGTCTTTATAGGGTTTTATGGTCTCCCTCATCACGCGCACGAGGCATCATCTCTAATATAATCTGGGCATGAATCACATTATACATCATTTCATAAGCATTTCTTCGCGACCTTCCTGTGGAAGATTGTTCAGGATAATGGGGTGGCAAGGAGCCTAGGTGGGTATCTTCTTCATTGTGCATGTAATTCAATTTTGAGACGGATTGATGCCCTTGAGACATCATTTTATTTGCGGACAACCGAGGCGACGAGGCGTAATTTAGCCACACAGCAATAACACCGGCACATACCTCACTAATGGTGGGTTTAACCTCATCTTTCATCGCATTACCCACGCCCGTAACTCACTTTTACCTTCCGTCAAGATAGGCACACAGTCAGGGAATTATCAGCTAAAGGAGACTATTTATCTCGCCAGCGGTTGGAGTCTTCCGTTCACATTTACAGTTAAATAAGCAACTTGACTTCGCCCCAGTTCCTCTGGCTGCAAAATGTGTGATCCATCCAACATTGTCGTAATCCTTTAAGGATACCTTCTGTGCAACTAAGGAAGAATAGTTTTGTGTTGAGATAGTGGTGTGTGGTCATGGATAAGTAGATATTTTGTGTGTGTGTGTGTGTGTGTGTGTTCTTAGTTTAGATCGTTGTTGCTGCATTATGAGATGAAATTGGTATATTGATATTTTTGCTCATAGCATAACACATTATCTAGTACGGAAGAATCCGTTATATAGCATCGATTAGGCATACATCTTTATCGTCCCTCATGTCTCAGAAAGAAGGACACATCCTTTCCTTTTCACTTCTATTCTTTTTATTTTTCTCCGGGACAATGCAGAGTTCATTTACCGACCAATCTTCTGCAGCTCCAACCACCGCAGAGGCGGGAACACCAGCATCGCCCAAGACACACCCACCCAGATACCCAGGTCCGCACCGTCCGAACCAACCATCTTGGCAATCGGACCAACATACCATATTTGGTCCATGCAGACGATCGCACCCGCCCAGCCAATCAGGAACGCAGCCAGAGCAGCAAGACCCAGGGGCAACTTGGACCGGTCAGCCCAAGCATCCCAGTCGAAACCACGGGTGCGGCGGAAGATTAGGTGTTCCTCCAAAGCGATGGTCAAATAAATGGTCACCCAGTAACCCATCAGGGCAAGGAAGTTCTCGAAGATATCGTAGAGGTGGTTCCGGCCACCCAGGGCGCAAGCAGTGTAGATGATCACACCAACACAGGAGAGGAACCATCTGGGAAGGCTGCCAAGGTGACGGCCCATGATCTGGAAGCCCAGAGTGGCGGAGTAGGTTCCAGGGATGTTGTTGGCAATCAGACCCAGGGCGACGAGAACGCCCAAGAACTTGCCAAATCCGCCGAGACCGTCATATCCGGCAATGATGAGTGCTCCAGCAGAAGTGTCGTATGCCTCCGCCCACGATGGGTTCGTTAGCGTGCCACTAGCGAGGCCGACACCCATAAGGTTGGCAAAAGAGAGGGCAAGGCCGACACCGAAGAGGGTCAGGGTGAAGGTCTTCCATTTCGAGGTGGTGGGAGGGAAGTAGACGAAGAAATCAGCGCCAGCAGGGGCCCAGGCAACGGAACTGGAGAGACAGAGCGAGAAGAAGGTGAGACGGTTGGCGTTGATGGTCTGGGGGTCGCCAGTAGTCTTGATGTTGGTGTCGAATTTCGGGCCGGCACTGCCGACCAAGACGAAGATGGCGATGAGTTGAGGCACCCAGGCCCATCGCTCGTACACGTGGAAAGGCGCCATACCAAAGACCACCACGATCCACGTGATGATGGCAATAATAATGATTCCCACCACCACCGTCAACCCACCATCAGCAACAGCGGACAGCACCTGGCCACCCACGAGGCAGTCGATCATTCCATAGCCCAACATGATGATGATGTTCAAAAGACAAGCGATCTTACTCGGGTAGTAGCCCATGAAATATCTTGCCACGACCTATAAGGTTTTTGGTTAGCACTACTTGACTTTCTTGATAAGGTGGCACGTTGCTTACCATTGTTCGATTACCACTCTGCGGTCCAAAAGTTCCCATATACGCCACACCTGCCGCACCAAGGAAAGCACCAAACACCGCACAGAGCGCCGAGTCAACGAAACTCAGAGAATAGTCCAGAGGCCCATACATTCCGATTGCGATGTTGTTCGCGGTGATGTTGGTACTAAACCAAAGCAAAGCCATTTGCATGTAATTGGATGCTGAGGCAGCGTGGCGCTCGGACTCTGGGACACGCTCGATACCGCGGCTTTCGAGGAACTTGATGGATTGAATACGAGCGTTGAGCCTCGTCCAGGCATTCCCTGAAGAAGGGTAGGAGGCCATTTCTTTTCCGGTTTCCGAGGGAGACGAGACCGGTTCTACGGCTGGAGCGGCGCGGTGGCCCTTCTCCTCGTCGTGCATGGTATCAGCCATGCTGGATATAGTGATAAATGGTCTGCGAGCTGGCGCAGGAGGGGATCCTCGGTTGGAGCAAAAGACGTTGAGGCCGCAAGTTTCAAAAATCAAAACGCAGCCGTTGAAGAGAACGTAGGAGGATTTAATGCAAGCCCAGCTGCATGGCGGGAAAAAACTCAGGGCCGGATGGGAGATAAAGAGGAGTTTTGCCCCCCTCGCAGTTGGCACTAGAGCAGGGACTAAGCTAAGGTAGAGTTGGATCCGGCGAATATGAAAAGTAGTTGGCGGAGAATGACTCCTCTGGCTTTCCTGCTCGGGCTTCGCCGGATTATTTTTTGGGAAATTTTTTTTCTTCGTTTTGGCCACAATAAGTCAGTCACCCGCCAATGACAGGACCCGCGCGGCAGCATCCATGCTTGGCTCGAGCACCCGCAGTGCTTAGCGGTTCAAGCAACGAGATTAATTCATTTTTCTCTTACTCTCCGATCCCGCTGGGTACCATCTTATTGTGATTAGCCTTGGTGTTCCCTGGGTCATCACCCTTGCCGTGGATGAACCTCAAGGGGTCTGGACATGGGTCATGAAGATTATGCCGCGATTGCTATTCTCATCTGGAAGGCTTATCTTTTTCATTGTCCCCGGCTTTCCCCTTCCCAGTTATCCCGGTTCCTCTTCTGATTTGAAGTTGATGACATGACTAACACTAAGCTGTCTTGGGGTTAGCAGAATGCCCTCATTGGGGACTAATATTCTGCCGGGGTCCCTCCACCGCCCAGGGGCAAATACCCTCAAGGGAAATGGGCTGATGGATTCCAGCTAGTTCTAGGCTACAGCATCATCTCCGGTTGCGAGGGCGTTTCAGCTACCTATGGTGCAGATTGTATATTAAAAGTCTTGATTGAGTGGAAATTTTATTGACCTGACTCGATATTAAATGGCTCATAGGCAGACTTGACTATGTCTCCAAGCAGTGCATGGCCCGTCCTTATCACGATCCAAGTGGAGCACGTGCCCCGCTCTGCGAAGCGGAAAGTCTAGCCGTCGTTCCGTTCTTTTCTTCCATTGTTGACTGTGAGTGAGAGAGTCTGCCTGGTCCGTTCCTCGCCATGATCCAGCTCCCCACGCCTTTTAGTCTGGGTCTCGACACAGTAGCACGGTAACAGTTGCACAGTAGCTCAACAGTCACCCTTCAGACTTTTAGCCTTCCGCCCTCCTTCGTGGCTACATTACGAAACGAATTTGGCCGGAAGACAATTTATACGCCTTGGCTGGACAACTAACGTTGAACTCAGCGAGGCTTCTCGGAGATAAGCGTACGAATCTTAATATGAACGCGTACTCATCGAGTCACCGAGTTTGCACGATGGATTACCCCTCTGTTGAAGGACCGAAGAAAAGCCTAACTAGGCCAAAGTCTCTTCGGTGTTCCGCAGCTCCGATACTGTCTACTAATGGCGCTACATAGTCAGTTCTATCCATCTCCACCTGAGACCAGCTGGCTTCTGCACCGGTGGCCCTTAGGAGTGGAGGATGGCCACACATTTAATATATCATTCAGCAAATTCGAGATCCTGGACAGGCCCTCGTTTGCCTTCCACCTCATGGTTCGATCAAAGTGAGGAAACAAGCAGGACACACGATCGTACGTGGCAAGCTGGTCTGCTCATTCCGATCAATCTGACTGGCTGTCACGGTGGGTGCACTATACGTAGCCGAAGCTTAGTCGGGGGACCCCGGTCATCTCCTGATGAGGTCCATGTTGGAAGTCGAAACACAAACCCGCTTTCCAAGCGCCGGAGAATTTCCGAATCTATGATGTTTTCCAGCCTTGTGGCTGGCGCTATTCGAGACATGATCAAGAACCTCACGACTAGAGTAGCGCTGTTCCACCTTTGGAAAACAATATTTGGTGTACTATTGAGTCTATCTACCTCGTGTTCGACGCACGTTATAATCCGGGTCTCCCGGCTTTGACAAATAGACTTTGTGCAGAATTTTCTAGGTTATGCAGGGATGCAGTCTAGCAAGGATTCGAATCCTGTGATAAATGAAATTATTCAGCGTTGATGGCGCGTTATGCCCCATAACCACTCAGCCGTCCCAATTTACTCCTCGTGCCGCCACCCAAGGGTGAGCGGCCACATGAACCATAGGAAGGAGAAAGCTAATAGTACCAACTCCTACCCGAACGGTAACTCCAATCCAAAGCCCTAATTAGCTACAGGCTAAGTTTGGCAGGCTCCGGACTTGATAGCCTGCTAGGTTCTAGAAGTTCATAAACAGCCACCCCGTACTTTAGATTCAGAATAGTCTTGCGACCATGACTTTGTTGCTTCTCGTTGCGCTCCCATAGAACTCATCATGGCCAACGACGGTGGCGGCAGTCCTCATGATCTGGTCGTGCAGACCTGGATCATGTACAGCATTGCTATTCTGCTGTTCCTGGTGAGACTGTATGTACAACCCTTTGTTGTTCATAGATAGCCAATTTTTCGTGGGCATTATCAGTAACAACAATACAGGTTTGCCCGCTACAAGCGACTCGGATTTCGATTCCAGGTCGAAGATTACCTTATGGTGGTCGCTGTGGTAGGTTGCATGCACTGCACTGTGTCATACCTTTGGCCATGTGTTAACGCGCTCTGTTCGTGGTCGCAGGGATTCTACACGGCATTCGCTGTTACCAACATTTATATCATCGAAGGAGGAGGTAGCAATTTGTATGAACCTCCGAGTTTGTACTACAGTTTCTCAGCCTCCGAGATTGCTGCAAGAGTCAGAGGTTCCAAGATCGAGTTTGCTTCGGAGAATGTATGGTTGCTTCCCAATTCTAGGTCAACATTGCCTAACATGATGGTCTATACAGTGCCAGCTCTGCACCATCTATTCTCTCAAGGCTTGCATGCTGTTGGTGCACTTCCGACTAACGTAGGTGCATTCTCCGAGTCACGTTGAGTTACTGCTGACAGACACTTCCAGGTCGAACTTATGGCAGCACCGCCTGGTTAAAGTCATCGCCGGATACACTCTTATCGGCTGGATTACCACGGAGCTGGTGCTGTTCCTGAACTGTCGCCCCTTGTCCGGATATTGGACACTCCCGCCACCCCATAAGGAATGCAGCACTTACTTTCGCTATGAAGTGGTACAATGCGTCTTTAACATCAGTTCCGATATTTTCATTCTCTGCGTCATACTGCCGATGTTCATCCGCGCAAAAATGCCCTGGAAGACCAAGTTACCCGTCATCGTGGTCTTCTCCATGGGTATTGTGGTGGTGCGTTCCTGCCCGAGTTGGCTTTGGCCCCCAGACTAGTCGCTAACTTGCATCTTCTGGCCCCTCAGATCGCCTGTGCCATCATTTCCAAATACTTCACATTCTACAATATTTACGACGATAGCTACCAATTCTGGTACCTCCGGGAGGCATCGATCGGCATGTACGTGACGAACTTGCCATTCGTCTGGAGCCTCGCCAGATCGACACTTACCTTCCTGCGAACGAGTCAGTACACCAACAAAGGCCGATACAACGAAGCCCAATACGGAACCGACCACGCTTCGAATGCACGGTGGAAATCGGGGGTGCATTCTCGGTCGACTCGCAACATGCCTACCATTTACGATACTCGAACCGGACGCGCGGACGGAATAATGCGCACCGAAAGTGAAGAGAACATTATTGAAATGGGTGGGGTGGGACATGTCACCAACAAGTCGACCGCATCGACTGGTAGCGACAACACAGAGTGGGCTCAGGCGAATGGACATGATGACTTCATCATCAGGAAGACGACGGAGATTGTCATTCAGAAGGACTGATCAGCCCATGATTTTCCTATGGATCGTCTCGACAGCCGATGAGCAGTCGCTATGACCTTGAGTTCCTCCCAGGAAAGCAGTCGCCTTTCCTCTCCTGACTGCGGAGACAAGACCCCTGAATCGCCCACAACAGCCTCACGAAACAACACCCCCTATCTCGATGCCAGGATTTGACCCCTTCAGGCTCCAGCGATCGCGAAGAGTTTGTGCAGCGCAATTGCCAACAACCCCGCTGTATCTGAAGCACAGTGACGTTTCTCAGCACCACTGGGGCCCCGATCATCCAAACCACGCGGGGGCCGCATCCACGATCCATCGACTGTCTCCGATCACTTTGAGCAAGTGAAAGGTAGATCAGTTCCACCGTCACAGCTACCCGTCCAGCCACGGCCGTCGGATTTAGGTAATCAACTACACTACTGTGTCCGCGGTCCCACCAGGGACGATAGTACACGTAATGTATGGACTACCGAGTTGCCTACTCAGTCTTCACGGTTCTTCTGTTGGAAAGGACCTTCAGGCACGGAGCTGAGGCGGGCTTCCACTCCCGTTTTCGGCCGGGGGGATTGTAGCGATCGGCCGGCCACGAGGTTCTCACCTGGCAGTTGTGGTGGTCGGTGCTGTGGCTCCCCCTCAATCTCCCTCACTTTCTTTCCGATGAAACATTTCAATTCCGATTCGGACGAGACGAACCTCATCATGTATAGATTTCCCTATGTTTCTTGTATATATAACTTTGATGACCCTACATAATCATACCTAATGATGTGTGAATGACATATAATACTATTTATCCCCTATCTCTTCGAGGCTGTGCAATAAACAACAACTCAAACCCATCCCCCTGAAAGGAAATATTCCAAGTTGCACTGGCTCAGCTGAAAGTCCCAAACTCTGCCAAGCCGGAGCGGGTCGTAGTCGGGTCGGCTACAAACTTGCACCAAACAAACACGTTTAGTGGTTCTCTCTGACAGACTCCGACACCTCCCAAGAAACCTTGGCGATACACCCACAAAGGCTTATTTCAATTCCCGCTTAGTGTCCGATGTTCATGTCTGTCTTTCTATGGCATGATCCTGATCAGTTCCGAATTCAACCATCCATTGTCGGAATCAAAACCCCGGAAGTCCCAACGGCAGATAATTATCCAATCTATTCTGTCTACAGGATAGCTAGTAGCCGGTACTTAGTGGGGTAAGTATTGCGCAGTTTGTAGTAGTCGGGCAGTGCGTAAAACACAACACAGTGCTCGCACTAATACACACTGGTCGGATTCACCCGATACTAATTGACTTTTTGTTTTGTCATAAACTTTATCCTTGAGTTCAGGCTGTGCCATGGTGTGCTATGCTATGCTGTGCTTGCTTTGTATGGATTGATGGTTATCTCTAAATCCTCTATTGGGTGGTTGTTAACTCCGTAGTTATTCCTCCTACCGTAGACTACTACTTTCATTACTGTTTACTATAGAATGGGCAAATAGAAGGAAGATTCACAAGTGAGACACTCTTATCTCAATTAACTTTCCATTTTCCAGGGCAGGAGAACCAAACTCAGCATTTAGTTACTACTTACCCTACCTATCTTCCTACCTCGTATCCGTACTAGCACAAATTACACTAGTCTACTATGTATCTATCTACTCCGTACTACTGCAGGGGTAGTAGCCTCGGTACATTGCTTCCGCCTCGGTACATCGCTTCCCCCCCGTCGATAATAACTAATTCATATTCCTACCTCCAACCTTGGCTTAGCTTAGATGGTTTGTTTTTGCACGGAAGTTAAGCGAAGCGAACTGTGACAGGGGTGGTGACTGGTGAGATTTTAGATCGGTTCGGTAAATGCGTTAGTTTGGTAGGTGTTAATATAGGAATCACTTGGCGGGCGAGCTTGGCTGTTGTGATGGTTGTAGTAGTGGCTTGGTGGTGGTATTTGAATATGGGTTGGTTTGGGTTTAGTGTGGTTTTTAGTTAGTCTAGTAGTTAGTGTAGGTTTGGTGCTGTTGTTGTTGTTGTTGTTGTTGCCTGTGCGGTTACTTTAACTAGTTTGTTGTTTGGGTTTGGGTTTTGGTCTGGTTTGTTGTTCAGGTACGGATCGGACGGCATCGGGTGTTTTAGAGTTTTTAATGTGTTGTTTTGGTTTGTGATGGGTTTATTAAGTTACTTCTCATGAGGTGGGTGTATTATATACATTGACAATTTCTAATCAAGTTAGGTGAGTGTTGCTGGGATATTGTGAGCCGGCTCAAGTATCTTGGTTATAAAGAAGACTTGACTGGTTCACAGACGATTTTTCCATGAATAGATGTATGAGAAACTTGAAAGCTGCTTGACAGGACAAGAAAGTTTTTTATTTTTGGTCGAACTCCTATACTATTAGTTGAGTCGGTCCATGTTGTTCTATGTTCTAGTCTCTATACGAGACGCGACCAATAGATAAGAACACAACGGTCGGGGGATGACTACGCTGGAGTGACAAGCGTACAGGAGCCCATATTATGTTCCTAGATGATATTTAGAGCTACTTTTCGTAGTCTTGGGTAGTTGCAGTATAGTTGAACCAATGTTGAGGGGAACATACTATTGCCAAACAGCCGGGGTTAACAAGAAATATATTGTTGAGTCAGTTTCAAATGGCAGGTCGCAATCGCTCAGCACCCATACAAATGTTGAGTTATCTTAATCTTCAGCTCAAGCATTTATGACATACTCGAAAATATAAAATATAAAGTGATATCATTGAAAGGCCAGCCCGCTTTTCATAGACAAATTGAGGGATCGTACTCTGCGCTACTGCAACTTACGAGAACCTATCCTCCGTCCGTCCTAGATATCGACTACGAATCGCCTGACTAATTGTGCTCATGCGACTGGCCATGCCACCGTGCTGAATATTGCTCAAAAGTGCTTCCTCAAGCGCGGACTGCGTGACGCTCGCATCTAAACATGGTCAGTATGCCATCATGCAAACAGAAGAAAAGCTCACCATCTAGGTCACTAAAGCTGCTCCCCATACTAGGCGTCCCGTCGCTCGCGTCTCTCCTTAGCGCCATAGACTGTCGTGGACTGAAATGTGCCAATTCTCCTGTCCGCCTGGGACTCAATGGCCCTCCGCTTTGATTCAACCGTCGCCGTCTATCAGATTGTGGATGTGCAACTGGGACTCCGGAGCTAGCAGAGCTTGCGGAAGATTCGGTCGTGACTGAAGTTCTGGAAATCATGGGTGCCGATGGGCGTCGATGTGACTCAGAGGCATCCTCGGCGTTCATTCTCAACGTAGCATTGAGATCCTGCCCAGATGCTTCGTGAGACGCCCTTTCAGGTTCTGGCAGGAAAGCAGGAGACTCGTCGTCATCCTCCTCGTCATACCTCAGGCCAGCCCTATGTGTGGAGAACTTGCCGAAAGGGGGCTTGAATCTTAGACCACGACGACTTCCAAAGGCGTTGTCATCGTCGGATTCAGACTCGGATGAACTAGAGGTTGTGTCATCTTCCAGAGGGGGAGACTTCGGAACCGGAGGCGCTGCAGCTTGCTCCCGTTTGCCGGCAGATGGTCGACTGGCATAGCTTTCTCGTCTAGGCTCTCTTGGCTCTGCAACAGGAGTATCGTTGCGGACTGGTTCCCGGGCAGACTTAACTTGATTGACTGTAGTTGTTGAGCTGGTGCGTCGGGGAATGGGAGCTAGATTCGACATGATTAGTACAAGACACAGGCATAGAGGCCGGATAAGACTTGCCACGCTGTGGAAGACCATCTTTCTGCTGTGACGAGAGGCGCGACGGAGCTCGAGGACCTTTGATTGTCAGAAGACTCAATGAGTATCATCGGAGAGTACTCACCTGCATTGGTGGCACCCTTTGTCTGTTGACCCAGCGCCGTGCTACCTGACACCGAACCAGGAGCAGGAGATGTAGACGTTGACTGTGTGGTGGGCACTCTACTCATCTGCGCACGTACTTGTGACAACTGCCGATCGTAGAGCCATGCTGCCTGTTGAAGCAGAAACTGCAATGTCACATCGAAGTGATCCGCCCTACAGAGTTGATCAGTGTTGTCCCAACACTCGGGAAGGCCAATCGTACAGTGCTTTCCCTATGGTATCGTCAGCATTCTGAATCTCATCAGAGGATCATTAGGTAACACTATTACAGTCTAGATCATCTCCCTTTGAAGGACGCGAGAGAATATTCCACAGAGCCTGGTCTTTGGCAGCGTTCCATTCCATCTGTCTGGTCAGCGATATGGAGATCAGTTAACTAGCGGCACTTACCGGAGGAGGATCCACAAAGTCACCCCTGGGGAAGGGAAGGCGAATAAACACGGTGAACTTGGTGTCTCCGGACTGATTGAAGGACGTCATCGCGGATTCGTATCTGCGTACGTAAAACTACTTAAATACTCCAGAAAATACACGTCAACCAGCAGAGAAATAAAACAGATAACCTTTGCTGCTACTTGATAGCTAGCATAGTGGATGCGGGTTGGATGTGATGAATGCGGAGGATTGACGAGGTGTCACGCCTCCCCCGTCAAGGTCGGTGCGTTGCGATAACAATTCGGCTTATTGAAACTGCCATATGGGCTGGATGTTGCTATTCCCACCCTATTGCCACGGCCCCATTCGAATGCTCACGTGACATCCGCCTCACAAGGTTGCCTCTTGCCCAGTTGGGAAGAGGCAGCCTTATCGATGGTAACTTGCCCGGTAAGTACACTTCGAGGCATAAAGAGTACTTACTTTTAAAATATGCAATCTGGGGTTGATTGGGCATGATTGAGTTAGTCAGATACCAGATTATGACCTCTCAATCTTCCCACCCAGGAAGATATAGAATGCAGCATAGGATGCCTTAATAAGTGTGGTTTGACCAACACAACATGTGAGCTATATGCATGCGTTATTATGAGATTTCGAGAGCTTATTGTAGGAGCAGTGTATACCAAAAGCTTCAATAAAAGCCTATTCCCGCCCCACCAGACAGGGTCAAGGTCTTGGCGCAATTTTGGCCAAGTTAACGTCAGCAAATTAAAATCCAACAGATCCTAGACAGCCTAATAACCCTAGTACGTCAGTGCTTCAGCCTACTGCATACTCCGCAATAGGTAGCAGATGCGTCGTCACTGGCAAAGTCCAAGCGTCTTTTGGATGGATGCAGTCTGACAATGCGAACAATGACGCGGTCAGGTTTGCAGCCTACACTACGTGAAAGTCGGAGAAGAATGGATGTATCTGCTTCATAGACCGGCAGGCATGATAAATCACATATAAGGAGGACCGGTGCCCCAATCTCTCGACTCATCTTCATCATCTAAAACCGTTTTCTCACCTCTACTGCATCAGTATAACAACAATGGCTGGTCCTGTCCCAAAACCAGAGTGCCTCCTGGGCTTCCACCAGGTCTTGTCACCCACTGCTGGTATCAAGGTGTCTCCGCTATGTCTGGGCACTATGAACTTTGGAACAGCCTGGTATGTCTGTCCTGTCGCTTACAATCGGACAAACGTCTCTGACATCTTGCAGGGAGCCATACATGGGTCAATGCAGCAAGGAGATATCCTTCGCAATCTTGGATACCTTTTTCGACCACGGTGGAAATTTTATCGACACGTACGTTCAAAAAAGTACCCACTGACTCTATCTACGAGCGACACGCTTATGTCCCTTAGTGCCAATGTATACCAGGACGGACAATCCGAAACATGGATTGGAGAGTGGATGAAGAAGCGTGGGAATCGAGACCAGATGGTGTAGGTATACACCCTCCACTATCTGATTGCTACATTCCAGTATGTCCTGATATTAACAATCTCAGCATCGCAACCAAATACACGACCGGCTTCCGCCGCACACACGTGTCCACTGAGCCCATCCAATCGAACTTCGTCGGAAATTCCGTGAAATCCATGAACCTATCTGTCAAGAACAGCCTCGAAAAGCTTCAGACTGACTACATTGACCTTCTCTACGTGCATTGGTGGGATTTCACCACCAGCGTGGAGGAAGTCATGCATGGTCTCAACGCACTCGTCTCGGCCGGAAAGGTCCTCTACTTGGGCGTCTCCGGAACTCCGGCTTGGCTAGTAGTTAAGGCAAATGCATACGCGCGCGCAAACGGACTCAGACCGTTCTCTGTTTACCAGGGCAAATGGAACGCCGGATTCAGAGATTTAGAAAATGAGATTGTGCCTATGTGTCGCGACCAAGGGATGGCAATCGCACCTTTTGCAGTGCTAGGCCAAGCGAAGTTCAGACCCGCAGAGCAGCGCAACGCAGAGTATAAGGGCTCTGGACGAGCGGCGCTCCGGGTTGAGGAGGATGACAAGGTTTCTGATGTGTTGGAGGCTGTTGCCAAACGGAATGAGACAAGTCTTTATGCCATTGTGAGCTTCACCCTTATACATACCTACTGCGCCACGTATAAAAGCCGCCTAACTAATGTTTCAATCTCAGGCTCTCGCGTGGGTCCGCTTCAAGGCACCTTACGTCTTCCCCATTATTGGACAACGGAGTGTAGCGCACATGAAAGCCAACATTGAAGCTCTGAGCGTCGATCTGTCCAAGGAGGATATGGATGAGATTGATAAGGCCATTAAATTCAATCCTGCCTTCCCACTCGACTACCTCCTCGCCGGCAATTTCAGTACTGCCTTTACCGCAGCAGATGTTCAATTGACGCAGTGGACCGCGCATATCGATGCTCCAACTCCTGTGATGCCGGTCAGACCGCGTAAGGATTTGTAAATTGACATGACGGGTCATTGTGGGTGCTTCATCCGCTGTTGATGATATAGGGGGACGATAGATTCGCAGTTCTTATGGGGGCCGCAGGAGATTCATGACCCAAATCTCGGGGATAGTTAGGCTAACAGATTTGTATGTTGTCTAGACGATTTCGAGTTCAGTCTACATGGTAGCTTCTTAGTGCCTATGCCTTTCACATCTGATATGATACATTTCAAGAATGTTGTGACCTCTGAGAAAGTAGAGTTCTATGGGTAATCACATATGACTGTAGTCTGCGTGCTTGTCCTTGCTAGAAATAAGAATATTCAAGATTCCCTAACAGTACTTAATCTCTTGCTCCTGCCTCTCCTAGTAGGTGGCACGCTAAGAATACCTCACGTTGTTGATCACCTCAAGATATAATGAAGAAGACACCGATTCTTTTAGTTCATGGAATTCTATATGTGGTATACGGATGTTTTGGTACACAAAGGGCTGGTTGCGTATCCCAAAATCTCATCTGCAATTCACTGTGACAGCTACGCCCAATATGGCAGTCAGCATTAACTGGAAGCCACATGCCCCGGGAAAAGAATTTTCACAGTCAAGCCTTGCCCCCACGAGTTCTTCCTCACTTTCTTTCTTTCTTTACCACTTCATCTTGTGTTGGTCTACGTTCAGACTCAACGCTGGAGCCTTCGACTTCCCGCCGGCTCAACCGTCAACATGGCTATCGATGAAGGTGAAAGCGGCCCCAAGCATCTCAATAGCTCTGAGTTGCTCAAGAAGATCGACAAGCTGAGAGAGAAAAATATTGGAAAGCATGTTCCCCTTCCTCAGGTAAGACCCTGCGACCTCCCAAATCTGTCCACAAGTGACGCTAATCTTCATCAAGTTGGTTGTTGTTGGAGACCAGAGTTCTGGAAAATCCTCTCTTCTGGCAAGCCTGACCAAGATTCCATTTCCCCGTGATTTGGAACTCTGTACCCGTTATGCCACGCAGATAACCTCCCGGCGTGAGGTGGATCCCTCTGTTGAGATTTCCATTATCCCTGCCCTGGATGCATCCAGGGAGCACAGGGCGAAGGTACAGGGCTTTAAGAGGACCCTCAGGGGCGCCGAAGACTTTCGCTCAGAATTTCCAGAAATCCTGAAGGAGGTTCGGATAGTCCAGTTCAACTTATGTGTACTATTCTCTGACAAAAGCTAACATGTTGAACAGGTCGACGAATGTATGGGAATTCGTACTGACCTTTCGTCTAAGCAAGGATCGGTCTTCAGCAAAGATGTGCTCCGCATCGAGCTATGCGGGCCTGAAGAGGACTACCTGACCGTCATAGACGTGCCGGGAATCTTCAGAGACCCGACGGCGGGCATTACAACTGAGAGTGATATCGAGCTAGTTCGAAATATGGTCAAGAACTATATCAAAGATTCCCGCACCGTGATCTTGGCTGTGCTCCCGAGCAACGTCGATCTTGCTACCCAGGAGATCCTCAAGCTGGCCAAAGATTATGATGGAAATGGAGAGCGTACGCTTGGTGTGCTAACCAAACCCGATCTGGTGATCGAGGAAAGCGCAAAGACAGCTTTGTGTTCACTCGTCCTGGGACGCAAGAGACCGCTGACACTTGGCTATTACTTGGTCAGAAACCAGGGCGCAGATCAAGACACTTCTTTCAGTGGTGAGGAAGGAGAAAGAATGTTTGACAGCCAGCCTTGGAATACCTTGCCGAGAGACCGTATTGGCATCCAGGCCCTAAGAGAACGGCTGGGAGAACTCCTGAGCGAAGTTACGGAGCGCGAATTCCCTGAGCTGCGTAAAGATATCAAAAACCAGTTTGATAGATGCCAGCAAGATCTGGAACTCCTGGGCCCTGCACGCCAAACCGAACGGCAACAGCGTGCGTTTCTGAGTGGTTTGGCTCGTCAGTTCCAGAGCTTCACACGAGCTGCACGGGACGCCAATTATGCAGAAAATGAAGCATTCCGGGACTGTGAGTCCAGGCTTCTGACGCACATTGTAAATCTTTCCGAATCATTCAGCTCCAAGTTCCATGATAAAGCACATCTCTTCCCATTTGATTGCCCTGGCTCGGATACACAAGACACTCATAACTTGAACGGCCAGGACACTACTATCACCGACAAATGTCGTGCGTTCGAAGATCTTGATCCTACAGACTTCCCGGAACTGGAGCACATCGTTAGCTGCGTGGTGGAGTCTGAAGACCCTGAAAGCGATGTCAAAACTTGGATCAAGGAGCTCTATATCAGCTCTCGAGGGCTTGACTTAGGTACCTTTGGAAGCAATGTTCTCTCCAGTGCTTTCAGAGAGCAGAGCACCAAGTGGGAAGCCATGGCACAGGAACACGTGAGTAATGCTATCATGGTGGTTCATCGTTTCCTGAGTGTTGCATTAAACAACTTGTGTGGAAGCAAACAGCTTTATGACAAAATTTGGTCCAGCATTCTCGATGAGCTTCTGGAAAGATACAAAAAAGCCATGTCCCAGGCTCTTTTCCTGGTATCGGTTGAGAGGAACCGCCGGCCATATACTCTGAACAAGCGTTTTAACGAAACCCTCCAGAAGCTGCGCAGCGCCCGTGTAGCTCAGGCATTGGAGGACAATGCCAGAGTTGACAAAGATTCTTGGATAATGAAGGTAGTCGATATGGATGCTATCAAGAAGACTGCCCGCAACCAGGGGAATGTGGAACATATCATTGGAGAAATTCATGACATCCTGTGGTCCTACTATCAAGTCGCACGCGAAAGATTTGTGGATAATGTTCACATGCAAGCAGTCGAGCATTGTCTCCTGACTGGTCCTGAGAGCCCCCTCGAAGTGTTTAGCCAGGAATGGGTACTCAATCTAGAGGCGGATGAGCTGGGAGCAATCGCGGGCGAATCGCAGGCGATTAAAGCCCGGCGTACCAACCTGAAGCAGAAGATGGAGGATTTGAAGGCTGCTCTACAAACCTTGAAGTTCTGAGATTGTGATGATTTGATATTCGATGTTTTTTTATGCTGACATTTCTGTTCCTATGCAAACTGCCATGCAGAAATAGTAATAATACTCACAACAATATGATCTGACAATGCTATTTGACCTAGTGATGCACAACATAGAAAGAGGAGACTTATATGCGGATGGATGAAAGAGGAATGAACCGAGAACCGGGGATGGTGCGTCATAAGCCGAAGGCGGTGAACTGCCCCTCCCGGTGAGAAGGAAAAGTGGAAGTTCACCAACAACATTCCACCAGACCATCTGAACCAAACTATCTGTCCTGCAGAAAGCCAAATCTGTAGATTGCTTTGGTCATTGCGAAATTGCAATCACTGCGTGCTAACCAGTTGGGAAAAAGCTAATCCCTCAGCTCACAGGTGGCGGGCTGGAATCTACCAGTCGCGATACTTATCGCACCCCGTGCTCCGAACTACCCGGCATATGTCAGAATACACCAAAACACCAAGACTTCGATCTTTCTCCTGAATTCCCTCCCGTTCTCTGTTGTCGATCGCCTGTCCTCTAGCTGCAATAAACAGATTGCTTTTGCAGAGCTGTCGTGGTTCCCAGATCCTCTCCGTCGTTCACCTTTCCGCACCGACCCTTTTGTCTCATCCCCGCCTTTACCTGCACTGATGCAGTAGAACTCTTTGAACGCATTGATAGATATAAAGTTGCTGGACATACATACATCTCAGTCGCATCACAGTGAACAATTGCTATACCTTTCAGCATGACGTCCGCTCCGACGCCAGAAATGACGCCCGCCGAGGCCGAGTCGGTCTACTTCAACAACTACCCCCCGCCCAAAGCCCTCCCGAAGCATGAAGCCCTCGCTCGAGCCTTTGTCGATTACCACGCCCAAGCGAACCGACGCCTTGTCCTGGTGACATCGGGGGGCACCACAGTTCCTCTTGGTTCGTGGGATGGCTCGTGCACGTGAGAAAGATTCTGACCGTTGTACAGAGAACCAGACTGTTCGCTTCATTGACAACTTCAGCGCGGGCACGCGAGGTGCTGTGTCGGCAGAATACTTTCTCCAGGAGGGATATGCAGTAATTTTCCTACATCGGCAGTTCAGTCTGTTGCCATACTCGCGGCATTACAGCCACTCGACCAATTGCTTTCTGGATTTCATGGATGAGGAGGAACCGGTGCCTGATGCCACAGAAACCAACGAGTCGGATCACCGACCGATCAAGGTGCGCAGTGAGTACCAGGACCAGATGCGCGATGTCTTGCGAAAGTATCGTTATGCGAAGCGGAACAACCTCCTGCTCCTACTTCCGTTCACCACCGTCTCGGAGTACCTCTTCGAACTACGGTCGCTGGCTCAGCTCATGAAGCCATTGGGTCCCAACGCCCTGTTCTACCTGGCCGCTGCCGTCAGCGATTTCTTTATCCCCAGCGACCGCATGTCTGAGCACAAGATCCAGTCGTCGGAGCTGCCGGACCACTTGACCAAGGACCAGGCAGTTGGCTCGTCGGACATTTACACGGGCGGGATTGAGCCGCAACCGTCGTCTCACAGTAAGAAACTGATCATTGATCTGGACCCTGTTCCGAAGTTCTTACATCGGTTGGTGAATGGGTGGGCGCCGGATGGCAGTATGATTGTGTCGTTCAAACTTGAAACGGACCCCAACCTGCTCGTATACAAGGCGCAGACGGCACTCCAGCGGTATGCGCACCATCTGGTGATTGGTAACCTGTTGACCACGCGCAAATGGAAGGTGGTGTTCGTGACCCCGGACCCCCCGCACGAGCGCTGGATCCGGGTGCCGAAGTCGCGGCGCAGCAAGAGCATTTCTGGCAGTGAGGCGCAGGTTGGTTTGGCCGAAGCCAAGCGGGCGGGCGAATCCACCCAGGCAGAAACCGGTGGGGGCGGGCAGAGTCAGAGACCGTTGGAAGACGAGGCCATCATCTCGGCTGAGGGAGTGGAGATCGAAAGTTTGATCATCCCTGAGTTGGTCAAGTTGCATTCGACCAAAATTGCTCAACACAATGCCAAGTCCTAGACATGGATTTTGGGTCGAGACACTCTCAAAGTGTGGCGTGCGAGAGGAAGGAGTTTCAAGTGAGCGTTTCTGGAAGCATGACGAATGCAAGCTAAACCTGAGGCAGGAGGGTCTTCTCCAGATAGATTAATTAGGGTCCTTCACTCAGTTTTTTACTGTGTAAGCGGGTGGTTTCTGTATAGTTAGCGTAGGAGATGAATTAAACTAACTACCGTGTCTCAACTACCATGTTCCAGATGTAACATTAATTAGTGCTGCTGTCAGATTTAAACAATCAGTCCGTTCAAAGGGGCCAAATGCCGGGGTTTGGAGGTGAACCAAACACACACCCACACACATTCCGCCCCTCCCCTTCTTTTCTCGTGGTTCCCTCGTCCATTATGGGAATCTCCTATGTTCATCCCTCTTCCTCCCCTCTCCTCCCCCCCTTAACGCCAGAAAAAGCATTATGATGTGATTGATCGACTGAGAGTTTGATTTTGATCCTCTCACCAAAGATGGAGCAACCTCGGAAGTTCTTCAACTTCTGACAGCTTCACCGGTTGACGGGTCTCGTCAGGGGCGGGTTTCAGGTTTGCAGCTCCTCAGCAATCCATGGTTAGGCGCCGCGAAGACCCCCAAGCTAAGCGATGGATCAAGCTCCATTCTCCAGTCAGACGGTGCCATTCCGATGCTAACGCGTCATCGATAGCTTAGGAGCCCTCCAGATCGCCGGCCAGCGTGGGCCGATCTTCGCCCGTCTACGTGCCTTCCTACGTCGCCATCTCCACGCCCTTCTTGTCTCTCCGAACAATAATAATAACCATAACGTGCCTGGTGTCGATCTCGGGGATTTTGCTTCCTCGATCTTTTTCCCCTGTTGCTCTTGCTCTTTACTCCTCCTTTCTCTCCTGTTCCTCCCTCTCCCCTCCAACCGCCAGGGGACTCCGATCCCTTTGTCTCAGCCTCCTCCGTTCCTGCTTCTCCCCAGGAATTTCCCCGCCGGCAAATAACGACCGAGTGCTCTTCACCCGAAATATTCTGCATTTTTGGCGCACAGTGACGACGAAAGATGCATTGACACCTTGTATCAGTCTGGAGGATTGCTCAATAATAATTTTTCTTTTTGCTTGTTTCAAGACTATTGCATTCAGCGTCTCGATCTCGCTCCGCTGCAGGTCGGCGACCGCTTCCATCCCAGCCTTTTCAAAAACTTCCCCTCACCGCGCGCTCCTTCAAAAATGGCAGTCCGTCGATTTCGTCGCATCACCATCCTCGCCTCCCTCCTGGGTGTATTCCTTCTCTACCACTTTCTCTCCATCCGCCCGGAGCTCTACACCCGCAGCGCTACCCAGCTCCGCACTCCGCAGACCACCCCGCAGAGCGCTCCAAATGAGCCGCCCGAATGCCCCCCTCTCGCGGGGATCGAAGATGTCCTAGTAGTCATGAAGACAGGTGTCACCGAAGCCCTCGACAAAGTCCCGGTTCACTTCCAAACAACCCTGCGCTGCGTCCCGAACTATATCATCTTCTCGGATTTCGAAGAAGAAATCGAAGGCGTCAAAATCCATGACGCTCTCCGCACTATGGACGGCACTGTCCGAGACACCGTTGCCGACTTCAACCTCTACAACCGTCTCCGCGAACAAGGTCGCGCTGGTCTCGAATCAGCCGACTTCGCCGATGAAGCCAATTCCAATATCGGCAAGCCTAATAATCCGGGCTGGAAGCTCGACAAGTGGAAATTCCTTCCCATGGTGCAACAGGCCCTCACCTACAAGAATAACGCCAAATGGTATGTCTTCATGGAGGCAGATACCTATTTCTCGTGGCCGACACTCCTCGAATGGCTCTCGCATTTCGATCCTAAAGAACCCCACTACATCGGCACTGAGACCCAGATCGCAGACGTCATCTTTGCGCATGGCGGGTCCGGCTTCGTTGTCTCCAACCCCGCTATGCAACTCGCCTCGAACGAGTACGCGACCCGCACTGTAGAACTGAACGAGTACACCGACTGGCACTGGGCTGGCGACTGTGTCTTGGGCAAGGTTCTCGCCGACGCCGGTGTTCCCCTGCGCTACTCATGGCCGATCCTGCAGAACTCCAACGTCGGAGAACTGGACGAATTCGCCAAGGGATTCTACCGCAAGCCATGGTGCTTCCCCGCAGTAGCATTCCACCACCTCACATCTCACGAGATCCAGGATCTCTACGAGTTCGAGAAACGCCGACGTCGACAGGTAAGCCCATCCCAATACTCCCGTAACCAGCATACCCCCGCTAACACACAACCCCTCCACATCCAGGCCACCAGTAACATCCTCCTCCACCGCGATGTCTTCAAAGAACTCATCTACCCTGAACTCTCCAATGTCCGCGACAGCTGGGACAACCTCTCCGACGAGGAACACCCCAAAATCACCGACTTCCACGAATGCAAAACCCTCTGCTCCAGCTCCCGAAGCTGCGCGCAATTTGTCATGCGCGACGGCATCTGCTTCACGGGCGAAACGCCCCGACTGGGAGTCAGGAACCCAACAGCCCGATCTGGCTGGATCCTCAGCACAGTCGACCACATGATGGACAACGCGCCACGCTGTCCTCATCCTGACTTTGGACTCTGAGCGTGTTTCCCTTTTCTTGAAATTCGCGGGACGAATATTCCCTTTACCATTATTTTTTCTTCTTCTTCAGAGAACCAAACACACAACAATCAAACTTCCGATTCATGTGTGTTGTATAACCATGGGCTTGCTTGATTTTGATTTGATTGATTGATTGATTGGGTTTGCTACTAGCCCAGTAGCATGCATCGTTAGTTGCATCGCATCGGCATATGTATATGTATATGTATACACGATGCTGAAATGGCGTTTGTGAGAGGAGTCGGTGGCTTTTTTATTCCATTCTGTCTTATCTTGAGCATCTGCTTTTCTTCCCTGCATCAATACCACGGCGTCTGGGACTGTCGGTACTTTCGTTTCTATTTTTCTGTACTTCAACTTGACTTGACTTGTGTGTCTGCGTTTAAAGCCAGCATGGAAGCTAGCGTATATATGCTAGGTTGTCACAGGTGTTTAGCTAGACCGAATCGGAAAGATTATGAGATTAAAGCTAGTTGTGGCTCGTAGATTTTAAAATATGGTTTTGGCTGCGTAGCTACACGTTTTGAAGATTTACTGGATTGAAGGCACTCTTGTGGATTCGAGCTGGCTACTTTTATACACCCGTATTTACAGCGGTTGGAATAACAGCAATAATAACCTCTCATAGGGATGCCTAAGAAAATGGATTTGTTACAAAACAGGGGAGCCATTAGAGGATAGAAACTAGGAAGAGAAAGGCACGGACACGTGAGTCAAGGCGCCGTAATGTTTAGAGGGGGAGCTTGTGGGTCTTCAAGGCATTGGTCAATGCGCATAATCGTCGCGTTCATGCTCTTCACGAATCGAATGACCTCACGGAAGTATTGTACCGTCGTCGGACTGAGGAAATGCATGACAGCCAGATTGCCCCCGCGTCTCACGTCTCGAATGAAGGCTTCGCGCTGCTTTTCGGGTGTTTTGGTGTCCGCCCAGAGCCAATCCTCAATATCCACACTCCAATTGATGATCTGGGGATCCTTAATATATTTTGCGAGCCGTTGACGGGTTCTCGCACCGAGTGTGCCGAAGGGAGGACGGAAATAGCGACCTGTCAATAATCAGCGAAGCTCTACAATGATGGTAACCAAGATTTACGTACTCTCAATCCCAAGGATCTGTCGAAACGACTTGATATTGTCCACAATTTCACGGTCAATGGCTTCAACAGTATCCAGTCCTTCCAACCTGTATTTTCGCATTGTTAGTATCCAGCTGAAGCCAGATGATAGAGGGCCACTCACTTCCGATGTGTATCCGAATGTAGAGCCACCTGATGTCCTCTTCTCAACATCTCTTTGTAAACACTCGAGAAGTTGGTGTCTAAATCTCTCAATCCCAGTCCTACCACGAAGAACGTGACCAAAATGTTCTCTTCCTTGAGTATCTTCATCACTTCCTGAGCAAATCTCGGTTGCCCATCGTCTATACCAAACGCAAATGACCCGGGTCGGGAGCATCTCAGTAGCACACGACCATTGTCCTCGCGACGTGGGATCGGGAATCCAGCGGGTACACTACCAGCATTGACAATTTCCACCTTGTAGAGGGTAACCGCTCCAGGTGAGAAGAAGCCGTTGAAGGATACCGATACAGCTCGGGAGTGATCAATGTAGAAATGCCAGAGAGGAATGTATATGTCGTTGCCGCGTGCATATCTGGCAGCCTCGACAGAGTCCCAGGTTTCTGGGAACGGGCTGCGGGTGGAGTCGCAGTGGATGTTATTTTGGGTGAGAGAAACACTGAAGTTGGTATGACCGGTAAATTGAACGTGTAAATAGTGGGTTGTCCGGTAGGGTAGCAGGTTGAAGCATGTTGCTGGTGAGAGCTGCGTATTGTAGTTATGGTCGGGATCTGTTGGGTAGAAGCGGACGTAGTTATGACCGTAGTCGATCTTGAGTCCTTCTAAGCCACCGTGCCAGAAGCCTAGGGTATTGTGATGCGAGTTATTGAAGGTATCAATGATTATAGGAGCGGTGACATTGTAGGGGGTGCCGGTGGTGTTGCTGCTAGTTGTGTTGCTCGGAAAGAAGACACGAGTAGCAGCTGAGGTGGCGAAGGTTATAAGTATAAGGAGGATGACGGACTGCTTGCAGGTCATCATGATTGCGCACAATCTTGAATATGGTCCACAGCTACCAGTAGTTCTAGTGTAGGTGCAGCGTTGCTGATTCTCCAGGGCATATGTCACCTAAGTCTACGTGAGAGAGCGAAGTTATTTACCGGTTGGCTACATGGTACCCGAGGAAGGAGCAAGTTGGTGCACCCGAAGGAAAGCGCATATCTAGGAACTCTAGCTCGCTGAAGCAAAGAAATACTTTTAGTAGATCGATTACCATTATGTTAAGTCTCCGTACAGCAGGGAAACGACAATTGCATTTGCCATGCTCCCACCCTGCCTCCCAACATGACCCGCAGTTGGTAGGATCCATCAGGTAGCCCAGATCCATTGTGTCCTTTCACAGGGACAATCAGTTCCAAGCTTCTGTGAGATCCCAAGGCGAGAGATCGGCTGCAAATCGTCTCTGTGCCATGGAGTCAAACAATTGCACACCAGATCCTGTCTGGTGAATCATGATATGATCTCTAAAAAAAAAAGAAGTGGAAATAGACGCAATCACCGGATTCCCCACGAGCATGTCTTTTCACTGACGAACATATGGCGTTTTCTCCTTTGTTTTTCTTTATTTTCGTCCATTTTTCTCTCCATAGCTTCGATCGAAGGAACGAAATTCCAGGCGACATGCAGCGTGGCAAGTCAGGACGTGGATTAAAACTCCCACTTCGAGTTGTCTTCGGCCTCTTCGGCGTCATCAGACTCCATCGGAATTCCTCCTCCTCCCCAGGCATCGGTATTACCACTGTTGTCTTCTCCACCACTCTTTTCGTCATCAGTGTCGTCGTCAAACTTGACGACATCATCCGAAGGACGATAAGATTCGAGGAAGTCAGGGACAGTTTGTTTGCTCTCGATGAGCAGTTTCACCAAATCTGGGGCGAGGTCCGCATCATTGTCATGGTTGTAGAACGAGGTGGCGAGGCCCTCATTGCCAATGCGTGCGGTGCGTCCTGTAAAGTCTTAGCTAATTCCATAATTATGCCTTTTCATTGTGGGACGGTGACGCACCGATTCTATGAACGTATTCTGTGATACCACCATGCTGAACCCGTGGAAGGTCAAAGTTGATGACATGCATGACATTCTTAATGTCCAGACCGCGAGCAGAAACCCCGGTAGCCACAAGGATGGGGCACTTTGCCGTGCGGAATGCACGCCTTGACTGCATTAACATTGGAGAACGAGGTATGAAGGGTAATAACTTACAAGGCATCCTCCCGCTCACGCTGAGTGCGATCAGAGTGAATAGAGGTACTCGGGAGACCCATGTTGTAGAGATAATCATCCAAGAAGTCTGCCTGGGTCTTGGAATTCACAAAAATCAGTGTACGCGAAGGTGGCATAGCCAGAAGCAGGTCATAGAGGCATTGCTTCTTAAGA